CTACAGTTTAAATGAATTTTTAAATTAAATATTTAATAAAAAATAAAAAAGAGAATATGTGATGAGAAACACTGAAAGCCACCAAATGGATTCAGGATGCCATAAAAATAATCTCCTCTCTATATAAATATTATACTTCACATTTAGGAGACTATTCAGGAAGGATTTGTAGTATGTTTTCTGGAACACTAAGTACTGAAGGTCCTTGGTATAATACATGTTATCTGATTTTATTTTCAGATAGTTCTGGATACCAATTACTGGACAGCCATCAATCATTTCTTCATTTGGGGTAGTGTAGCTGTGTATTTTGCTATTTTATTTGCAATGCACAGTGATGAGTTTTTTGATATATTCCCAAGCCACTTTTCTTTTGTAGGTGAGTCTTTTTACCAGGTATGAGCTATGTGAAGTATTTATATGTGTTAGCATAATCATTATAAAAAAAATCATGAAACAGTAGCAACTATAGAAAGGAACCTTTATATTACTGAACTGATATCATCTAAGTAATGAAAAAGCATTCCAGCTCTTTTGAAGAGTTGATAACAATACATAGACTTAGAAGATGGTTATAAACAGACTAAGACAAATAGTGAAGTGAAACGTATTATTCTTTTTTTTTAAATAAGTGAAACTTATTAAACATTGTTCTTTTTTATGAGTTACTAAAGGTTAGAGTAGTGGCAAGGAGTACCACTATCCCAGAAAGAACCTTGACATAGTGGGATCAGAACAGCTTTCTGTGAAGATGTAGCTCCTGCAATAGCTGTTTTGTACAAGCCATTCCAGCATTAACTGAGCACCAGCAGGACTTCGCTACAGTTAACTGAGAACACAGTTCTTTCAAGTGCATTTTAGTAGCCGAGCACATGATTACAGGAAATGAAACTACTTTTTCTAACTTTGTCTGGACATTCTAAATATCAGGGACCTTGTGAATAAGCAGTTTAGGCCACAGGATAATACTAGCAAACCTGCCAGTAGAAACTTGGATGATCTGCTAAAAGATCAGCTTGAAAAATAATTATTTTTGGTCCCAATAGTATCATTCTGACCTGCCTATGTTGTAAATTAGACTATTTTTCTGTTACAGCCCACATATGAGACCAAAAAGAGTTTCCTGTTCATGTGATACTAGAAGAACATCACCTAAGTGGAATTTGGGCGGGGGGATGGCATATTAATAAAATAAATAAATAAAATGATCAGAGCAGTGATCTAGAGTGTGGAGGTTCTGTTCCAACAAAAACTGGACAATCTGTTTAAACAGATGAGAAATCGTGTGTGTGTGTGTGTGTGTGTGTGTGTGTGTGTGTGTGTGTGTGTGTGTGTGTGTTACCTAACCAGAGAGGTACGTAAATTACACACGTAAATAGTAGAGCTGTGCGAAGCTTCGGTCCCTGATTCAATTCGGTGGAGATTTGGCCTGATTTGGTGGTCTAATCTCTGAATCCAAATAGATTCAGAGGACCCTTTAATCTCTCCGAATTGAATTGGAACCCTTCAAATCGATTCGGAGAGATTCGGGAAGATTCGGACATAGACACAGGTTTAAATGTTTTTTTCTACATACCTGTAGGTAGCAGGCGACTCGTGAATGCTGTGATGCTGAGCTGCATGGAGTGTCCCACAGAAGCATGGGGTGCTCCCCAGCGTGCTTGGCAGCAGACCCGGAAGTGGAACAAAAGCTGGGGAGCATGTGAGGCGCCCCCTCACGTCCCTCCGGCTTGGCAACTGGTGCCTCCCGGGTCGGGGAGGGGCACCCAGGGTCCCCCTACAGCCAATCGCCGAGTGGGGGGGTGCGGGGGGGGGCATCAGTCCACTTCTGGGTTCACCACTGAGCATGTAGAGGGCCCCCCTGCACACCTGTTGGTACCTCGAGGTATGCAGAAAAAACACTTAAAGCTGTGTCTGTGTCCGAATTGCTGATTCTCTGAATCAGCATTGAATCTTCAGATTCGGATTCAGCTGAATCAAATAAGGGACAGTGATCTGAATCAATGAATCGAATCACTGTCCCTGATTCGGGCTGAGTCTGAATAAAAAAGGACCCACTTCGCACACCCCTAGTAAATAGTCATGCAAGTACCATCTTTCAGTATTGTTCTTGTATGCATCATCGTTGTAGCCACTATCTTAAATCCTTCTTTGGAGTCCACTTTGTATTTTGTCTTGTGTCAAATTTTAAATGCTGCCAAGGAATTTTGTCATTTTAGCAGTACATTTTTCTACATCTAGAAGAATTCAAGTATTTTTGTAATAGAAATGCATGTTAACCTAAAGGAAAACAAAAGAGATAATTTAATATGTCTCACACTTGCAAACTGTTAACATCAGCCTTGCACTCCTAACAAACATGTTTCATTTTCTTGTGCTAACAGGAAATGCCCGTAATTCTCTAGGCCAGATAAGTGTTTGGCTTGTCATTCTCTTGACTACCGTGGTTTCGGTCATGCCTGTTATAACATTCCGACTTTTGAAGATAGATTTAAATCCAACGCTAACTGATCAGGTATGACTTAATCCTATAATATGAGAGTTTTCTTTTATCTTTTCCTACCTCATATAGAAGTAATTTCAGTTTTTCAAAACTGACAAAATATATAGTGCTTATATAACTTCTGGGGAAAGACACTGGATGAGTTTGTCAAAGCAAGTTCATCCATTCTGTAAGTTTTAATTTTTTTAATGTAAAGAAGTGAAAGATGATACTTGATTCCTAATAAACTTTTGGGTCAGAATTTTTTACTTTTTATTTATATCAGTGGTTCTCAGTGTTTTTAGAATCAGGGCACCCCTCCACTACTTCCTTTGAATGTGGTGACATCTCTGGTTGAGAGTCACTGTTGGTGCTCTTTCAGCTTACCTCGGTGGTTCTCAACCTAGGTATTGTTGTTGCCTCCAGGTAAAATTGCGTCATGTGCCTGCTGTGTAGCCAGGCTAGATAGGGCTACAGTTCAAATCCATTCTCCTGCTTCATTAGGGTCCTCTGATAACCATAAAGCAGGCAGGAGAGCCAGCTCATGCAGTTGCCCTTCCTGATCTGTACAGTATCTTCTGGAAAGAGGCATATAGGATGGGTAAAACTGTACCACATGTCTCTGTTTGAGAGGAGCATGCATTGGTGACCAATCTGGGAAGGTCTGCAGCATGACCTGATTATTTTGCTAGCTTTAAGGTTATCAGTATCCTAATGCAGGAAGAGTGTGCAAGTGCTGTACCCTATGCGTATACCAGCTTTACCTGGCCTCTGTGGTAGTGGTGGTGCCTTATGTTATGGAACCTCTGAGGGGGTCCTATGGTATCTTAATTGAGAACCAATGATTTATACGTTTTTTAAATGTTACAGCAGAAAAACAGAAGGCATATTATCCCATGTCTTTTTCAGCAAGCTAACTTAAATGGGAGCGTCTGCATAATCACTCTTGGCACAGTATGGTCAAGATGGTACTTTCTTAGAAAACAATAAGTAATATAATTATGGGAGTCAGGGGGAGGAAGAGGGGCTGCCCACTGCAGGTTTGGGCTCTCCACTTTGCTGCCCTTCCCCTGGGTTCTCTGTGGCCTAGTGGGCAGGACCTGGCATGGCAGGGCAGAGTGGGGCCAGGTGGGGAAGCTTGGTGGTGCCACCACAAGTCCCATGCTGCCATGGTGAGGTGCCTCCTGCCTGCCTGGTAGTAGTGGGGGTGGCGGTGTAGGCTTGTGCCCTCTGCTGCTGTGCAGGCAGGGAGTACCCGGCCATAGCATTGAGGGGATCATGGTGGTAGCACCAAGTTTCCCTGCCTGGCCCCACTCTGCCCTGCTGCACCAGCTCCCATCTGCTGGGCCATGGAGGCCCCAGGGAGGGGGCAGCGGGTCAGGGAGCCCTGATCCTGCAGCAGGCAGCCTGCCCCCCACCCCGTGCACAAATCTGGGGTGCACGTGCCCCCCAGTCCCCCACGGGAATGTGTGCAGCAGCAGGGAGCCAGCCAGTCCCCCCCTGCCCTCCAAATGAGCCCCCTGTGGCCCCATCCAGCACCCTGTCTGGGCCCTGTGGCCACACATGGTCCTGAGCCCCAAGCCCCATGCACTGCTTGGGCTGGGCAGAAATCAGCCCTTACTTTGAAACATGGCCAGGTCTTCATCAGCTCAGGGTGTAAGAGCTGGTTCTTTGCACTTGGCCAACCCTTCTCAGTAGGCATGCTGAAAGCTCTCATTGTTGACCTGCTCCACCCAAAACTTTCCCAACCCTATTAGCTCTTCCAGGTCCATTACTCCACCTGTCTCCTCTGCCCCTGGTTACTCTGTCACTTGGCCAGTGATCCCTTTTTTCAGGTTCTTTTCTTTTCTGGTTGGGGGTGCTCCCCAGCACTGCTGTGTTACCAGATTTGCCCATCACTTTGGGGTGTCCTCATTTATTAGGGATATGTTTCTAGGGTCTTTGTAATTCTATCAATGTGCTGCTTGTGTTACTTGTGTTTTTATACGGAGCTGTATATCTCCCTTCTGCAAGTCCTCACCCCCAATGGAGCTATCTTGCAGGACTCAGTTTCAATGGGGCTGGGTTCCTCCAGCCACCAAATCAGTCATACACACAAACACACACAGATTAACGTGACACGCCTGACCCAGCTGGGTTGATCAGCATGGACAGGCTGACACCCTCATATGCCAGGAATCAGCTCATTAAGGTAACAATAAAATGCAATCAGACACAAGCACACGGGTAAATAGAATACCTCTGAATCCAGCTGGGTGTCTAGCTGACACCCTCATGGGCCATTAAGTTCATTAGGGCACATCTGAGCCTGTACAAGCTGATCCCCTTATGTGTTTCAAACTCAGCAGATCCCAATCTTTTTCCCTAACTGTCCTAGTACTGGTAGCCTCTTGATGAGCAGGCCCCACAGTATTTCTGGGCTTCACAGGGATCTTTGGCTTAGGTAAAAGAAGTGTTGCTGCAGAGCAAGTGGGAAAGGAAACTAGAGAAGGAAACATATACCTGCTTACCACCAGTTTGACTATAAAAGTTATTTATTGCTAAGTATATGAAATATGTAATGGTACTAGTAGTAATAGACATGCAAAGGAAAACAAACACAATCAATTACTATACTACCCTGGTTTCACTAAGTATTTGGGGAAACTTAACTCAAGCTTAACTAATACAGCTCAGGTTCAGAAATCTATGCCTAGAGAGAAAAGAGAGAAAGAGTGATAGCTGGGGTCTCACCAATCCAAGGCACTCGGGTTCCAATGCTGACAGATAAAGTTCTTAGCACAATCCTTGAAGGGAGACTATCTGTTTCTTTCAGCTTCTTAAGAACAACAGTGGATGATGTCAGAGAGATTTCTTTTCTTGAAGCACACCGTTTGCTGATTTTACAGCTTTTTAAACCCTCAGTTCAGATTCTTCAAAGCTTTCTTTTAATTGTGTAAATAATTGTCTTTTCTATTGACAAGGGGTTATCTGGTTCGGAACATCTCAAGAAACTGATCAATAACCAGGAAAAACATAAGGTTAAGGAGTAACCAGACACTTAAGAGCCAGCTTGAAATTCTTATGGATAGCAGATATACTGGATAGGAGATACCTCATTGTTTCTTCAGAAACAATAGATAGCTTGCAGCGTCAGGGTTTTGTATTTTTACCTGTTGTGAATAAGCCTCGGTTTAGCATGACTTCCAAATCTTACTTAAATGGATTACCTGGAGTGTTCATAAACTTTGTGGGGAGGACTTCCACCAGTCATCCCAGGAGAAGTATGACAGCATTTGTGGTCAGGTCTCCAACGGGCTGGATGCTGTGATGAACCCTTTACCATTGTTCAAATGTTGCCCATACCTGCTGTGACTTGGTCTCTTTGCCTCAGCATTCCCTAACCTGGCAACCAAGTTTTAGTCAATCAAGTTTAAATAGGCGCCCCATAGTGGGACCGGGGAATGTACAGCCCGAGATGCCTATTAAACTTTACTTCTGCTTAGTTCTGGTTAGATGAGGTGTGTGTGTGTGTGTGGGGGGGGGAGTCCTTTGTAAATCCAGATTAGAATTGGCCTGATAAATGCTGAGCTGGGTGTGTGTAAATGTGGGTTGATTAGCATTTGGAGTACAGATTCCCCATCATGCAGTGCTCCCCTGCTTTTCTGATCCCAAAATTCAGTGCGGTCATTGCCTTGAAACCTCTGTTCTCCATCCTGAATGCTAATGAAGATGCATTCCTGTCTCATCTCCCATTTAAATGAGTTGTCATCTGGTTCCATCTCGGATGCAAATGAGACCTAGGGCAGTTGTTTCACTCTTGTCACCCTTATCTGGAGGGCTTTAGGTGTGTCTTCCACTGCATCTTCATTGTCTTTCATAATCAGTTTTTGTTCAGGTAAAGGAGGGGAAAATTCTTTGCGAGTCAGACAGGCATTGTAGGTGTTACTAGCTAAATTGTCCTTATGGGCCCTCAGTCGTAGTCTAAGACCGAGCTCTTTCAGGCCTCTGTGTCGTTAAGAGTCTCAGCAGGTCCGCAGCTCCAGTCCAAGATACAGCCCTTTCAGGCCTCTATGTCTTTACAAGTCCCTCCACTGGCTCAGGATTTGCCTCCTCCCATCCCCCCTGGGTTCTGATCTTGCCCCTCACAGGCTTAGGTTTTCTTCTCCAGGGCTCACATCTCACCCCTCATGGGCTCTGGTCTCGTCTCATCCTGGGCTCAGGTTTCACCCCTCAAGGGGCTCTGGTCTTGCCCCTCATAAGCTCAGGCTTCCCCTTTTCAAGCAGCTTCCAGGCTGGGTCTGGAGCCTAAGATTGTGCGGAGTTTACAGGTTAACCATATGCCCCTTGGGCACAGCTGGGATCTCCAAACCTTCCCTGCTAGTCCCTTTCCGATCCTCCGATTTAAAATCTAAACAAAGAATAAGCCTGTTGGCTGTAACACAAACTTACCTACACTAGGTTCAAACATAAATTTCATCTTCTTGGAGTGCAACCCAAACCTGCTGCTACCCTAGTCATTTTCCCCTGCAAGTCCTCTATGCCTTACTTGCAGCATCCCACATCAGCTCAGGAGTCAGCCTGGCAGTCCTTTGTAGCCTCTCTGCTTAGGAGCTCTTTCCCCTCCACCTGCAGGGGCAGTCTCCTCCCCAGACTGAGTCCTGGGACTTGTATATCCATTAAGCCACGCCCCTAGGAGTCATGTGCCTGCCTATGGCCAGCTGCAGGTGTCCTCAATTAGGTTCCCAGGCTGGTCTTGCTACTGTAGTAGTATCCCTCTTTTCCAGGCTGAGCTCAGTCCTGCAATAACATTGCTGTGCTACCAGCACTGCAATTGGCACTCTGCTATCCAGGCCACTCTGCCCAGTTACCTTCTTGGTAAACCATATATTCAGCACTGGGAGCCTGTAGCCTATCAGTCCTTTACTGCCTGGCCTTTCCTGGCTCCTTGTAAGCAACTCCCTGTACCTGGGGCTCCTTTGCCACCCTTAAAGTAAAAGGGAATCCCCAACTCCCTGTTACACATGGTAAAAAAAAATCAATGTTCTGATCATATTTGAATTTATACTATAATTTATCTTCCAAGATGATCCTATTTGTGTTCTCATGCTACAGGCATTTTAGTATAACAGAAGGTGTAGGAAGTGCGACCAAAAGTCAGGTGGGATCATTATGTGGTAACACAACATATGCTATGAGTTTATTTTCAGATTTGGGGGGAATCAGGGGAAGAACCATTTAATTCTCATTTTCAACAAATGTCTCAAATATCCCTTTAAATTCTCAATTTTTTTCCATAGGTTCAATGACATGCAGGTAGCCAGCTAGATTTAGATCCCCTGCCTTTCACGGTACTTTTGTGGCACTTCATATCTTCAGAGTATTATTATAAGGATTAACTAATAAATCCCCCAAATTTATTAACTAACTCTGAGGAAGCTAGTAGCTAGTAATGTATTATGATGATCATCCCATTCTACGGATTGGGGAAAAATCCTAGAAACGTTAAATCACTTGTCCAGGTTGGAAGGTGAGTGCACAGAAGTGGCTGACAGCCATCTTAGGATGTGTCAGCAAAGCCTAGTGTGGTACAGTATAAAAATGTTATTCCTAGCTCTAAATGAGCTAAGTGAGTTACTGGACTTTGTTAGCACAGAGCTCTACATAAGCTAATTTATCCTTCTTACTCTTTTCCTAAACTGCACTGTGCAGTGTAGATATATTCACAGTCAGAGTCAGATCCAGGGTTTCCCAAAGGTGGTTGTGGGAGCAGCAACTCACATTGTAAGGGTGGCTGTACCCCCTGCTTCCAGACTCCTTCATCGATGAGTCCAGGCAGACTGCACTGCAGGAGCTTCTGGGGACTTTTTAAAGTTCCTAAAGCAGATGAAAATTTCCCCTTTCTTCCCCTTCCTGCTCAGAGGTACACCCCTACCTTCCTCTTCCTCACCTTCTCTTTCTCAATTCCCTTTCCTGCCACTGCTCCTTTCTCCACTGAGAAGCTCCAGAGCCAACCCTGCTGAGCAGGAGCTGGGCTCAGCCAGGGAGGGGACAGCAGCAACAGGGTAGCTAGGGAGTAGTTCCCCAAACGCCTCCTGGTCACACTGTGGGAAGAGAAACCCCACCATTCATCCCTGGGCCATCCCTGTAGCCATTGTCCCCATCCCCAGCTGAGCCCAGCCCCTGCACAGCAGGCAGGAATGGCTCTGGTGGTTCCCTGGCCCTGGGACAGTGGGGAACAGGCAGGCAGGGGAGGGGGCTTGCATTTGAAGGAGAAGGGGAAGAGAAGGGAGCATTTTCACATGCTTTAGGGACTTCAAAAAGTCTGCAGATGCTCCTGTGGTTCTGCCCAATCCAAAACAGGATTGCAACTGTGCCACTGCACCCTCTTTGGTTCTGCCCCTGTTCATAGTATATAGTGCATGGGCTTTGAGTTCTGTCATGTCCTTTTCTACCTTATGCTCTTGCTCAGCCCAAGAGATTTTGAAGCATATATAACATAACACTAATGGTTTCAACACATTTTGGTTTTAGAATCCACTGAAAACACTTTTCATGTGTGCTGTTTTTTAATTACAAAGACCATGCCAGTGTAACTGAGATCTAAAAATTAGTGAAGGTGTATGATACTAAAAATCTGCATCTCAATGGAAACTTTCTCCCTCCCTCCCCCCTGCCAAGGTACGGAAGTTGCAAAGAGCTCGGAGGAAACAAAAACCTTTACAGACACAGATGCATCAGGTGTGTAGAACAAGCTCAAGAAGATCTGCGTATGCCTTTTCTCATCAAGAGGGCTTCGGGGAGCTCATAACATCTGGAAGGAATATGCGAGTCAGAAATTCGCATCCAACATCAGGACAATACATAATAGCACCAGTTGGATTGAAAACTGGCATAAAAAAACAGCAGAGACAATGAACAGTTTCAGTAATGACAGACCCATGAACCTATAAATCAAGCTGAACACAAAGCAGTTTAATGCTTTTTAAAAATGTGGCCATCTCTCTATACTGTTTGCCACTTTGCAAGCATTAAGCTAGGAATACCTGTGTGAGATGAGGACTACAGAGAAGGTGACCAATGCATCACTTTTAACAGCATGTTCAAGAATGTTGAAAACACACAGGAATATTTTCAGTCTCTTTTCATTTCTGAAAATAATTCACCATAACATGACTAGTTACCTGGTGCAAGAGGTAAAGTACTCTCTATTAAGATAATTATAAGCATTTTCCCTCCAACTTAAAGGTAAATGCAATATTCAAATATTTTAATCAGCTGTACAGTCCAAGGTAACTATTAGATGTAGTTGCAGTGTCGGGGCATTTCATATATATCGTTGTCAAAAATGACTTCGTATTGATGCAGTCAGGGGCATTTAAAAAATGTGTTAGCACAAAATTAATTTTGAAAGTCATTGCACAACCTTGAAACCAACATGTATTTAAAACAATTTAAATCTATGAAGTTCAAAGTCAAATGTTATTAATGTGTACTGCCCTTTCAAATATTTTTAAACATATAAAACTGAGGTTTTTAAATTGTTGATAAATTGAAACCAAACAAAGTACTGTATTATATTTTTATCCTTGTTTCTGTTATTTACCTTCATTTTTATTTGTCTTCTATTTAATATCACAGTTCATTGTTTGAAATTGCTACCTGGCTCTTTCTTGTTGAAATATGATGGGTCGTTTTCTCTTCTCTGCTATAACTCAGGAGTGACTTTAGAGAATTCATTAAAATGACACAAACAGACAGGAGGGGAGGATCAGAACCAGTTTTTCTTTAATTTCTTTTAGCACTCTGCAGGGTGCAACTTTCTTACAGTTGTAAACAGAAGACCATAACAAGAAGCAGCTTCATTACAGTCTGTGTGGAATCCAGGAAATCTTTATAATTCTGTTGTCAGCAATCTCAATGAAATCTGTACTTTACAGTGCAAGTTATTGGGGTTATATGCCTATAAAAATGTTCTTAGTAAGGTTTGTCAATACTTGCTTGCATTGTCAAAAACTGCACTTTGCTACTCATCTGCTGAATATGCTTGCATAATATAGAAATGTTCCTCCATTCAAGGAAAGTAGATCCAGCACTAGACAATAGCTACTGTTATGCCACTGAATGCCTTAGACCCACAAATATTAATAGGTTTTAAGTCCTATCTGATATCATTTATGTCAATATATGCTGGGAGATTGGAAGTAGAGTTGAATATATGAGGCAATGCATAGATCCAGGACCTGCTCTATATAACAGAAGTCCAAACTGAGTTAATTCAAATTGCAAGCTTTTCTTGCCACTGTGAAACCTTTGGAATAACCTGAACCAGTGAGGGAGCAGATGAGGTGTTCCAGACCAGAAAATGATCCTATGATCTTCCACCTCTTTCTGTCTTTCACTGGCCAAACATCTTCCTTCTGGCATATATCAGCCTTGGTAGATAAGATGCTGCCTCAGTTTTTTACACTGGAGTTGTTAGGTTGAGGAATGCAATGAGGATGTGGGGTTCACCAGTTGTTCTATTATCTGTGATTGTGGCTATGAACCACAAGCTATTTAACACCTTTTGGATACTAACTCCTTGTAGTGGAATGCTCTGAAGCAAGCTGTCCAGGTATAATGACAGACCATATCACTTACAAGGAGGTAGCAAGTAGTGGTTCGGGAATTCAAGATGACGGTGTAGCTTCTTTGGACCTTAGATGCTTTATGATGGAAGTTTCAGGACTCTAAGAGTTTTATAGTATAGAAATTGAGACCATATATTTGTCATAATTGTAAAGATTCCACTGTAGGATTTCAAACCACCTTTTTTTCACAGAGTACCCAGGCTTTTTGTTGGGCTCCATCCACAGCATGCAGGTATCTGTAGCTCGTTCCCAACTCACAGTTTAAATAAGTTATACAAGAAGGAAAAACCTTGAAACTATGAACTTCCACTTAACTTTTCTTCCTGGAGGGTTGAAGACTATATTTATAGTAGCTCCTTTGCATGATTTGGGTAAATATACTAAGAGGGAACACTGGTTCATGAACGCCCCGCTCCCTCCCCCCCCAGTTTTAATGCTATTTAACACAATTGAAAGGTAGAAATGTGGAGAAGACACCTTCAACTAACTTTTAGAAAAAGAAAATTCTTCTATGCCTTATATGTCCTTCTGTTAAAAATATACCCTCACCAAATGATCCAGTGTGATACCAGCAAAGGAAACCTAAATTGTATTATTGCAAAATATAAAAAGAATAAACATTTGAAGAGTAAAATAGGCAGCAGAGCCTGTACCAAATGATTAATTTTTTAAATATATATGAGATGAATTAGAAAGATAGAAATCATACATAATTACAGACACCTAATACAAAATATTCACTTTGCAACAAATGTAACATATATCTCTCTGCACAGAAAAGTAAGTGCATCTAAATCTGCATTAATTTATACCCAGTGTAATCCTGTTCAAGGTTAACTAATTGAATAGAGTAAATTACCAAGAAATTTGATGAATTATCTTTTGAATGGTATCAAACCCAATATTTTAGTAAAATGCCTTGGAACATATGCAGCATAATTGACGTAGTCTACAAATAACAATAGAGAATAATGAGGAGGTCTTCATGTTTCTTATTTGTATATCAGTAACTGCCTTGTTTGGCTTCTGTCAAGTAAATAAAGAACACTTCAAAATTCCAAATGTTTTGCAAAGTGAAAGTGCATGACCAATATGTTAAGTAATATAAGCTGTAAGTTATTTTAAAATTATACCCATGATTAATATATAATAACATACTTATTCTACCTGAAAGAATGGGCCATGGAGAATACAAGCATGTTGAAATGCTGACAAGTATTTGGTGATTACATTATACTAGCATAACAAATTATTCCAGCATTGATGAAAAATAATTTTTTGTACTTTCAAAAGAAAAGTAGGTTTCGATGTTAAATTTTGTGTGTTTAAGTTCCATGGGGGAAAGACCAGGTTGATTTTCTTGGTGAGTTTTTTTTCTATTAAACACTTCTCTGGCAAATCTGTTGCTAATAACTTGATTTATCCAGTGAACATGCACAGTTGAACAACTGTGGTTTTGAATTAGCAAGATATTCTGCAAGTGTATCAGGGTGATGACTATCTCTGGGAATCTACAACTTGATTTATTTGACAAGATGGTGGACCTGTTTCATTCGTTTCACAGGGACTTGATACAATTATACACATTTGTGCCAAGGCTGAATTTGTCCTGGTGCATTTTGCTTTGTATAAAAGTTACATGTTTGGTAACAGGTTATTTTTAAACTGTAAGTGTACAACGGTCATACAAAGCTGTTTGATGACTTTGTAAGATAACAAAAATATTGCATTTTTACACATAGCTCCATAACTTATTTAAATTATGAACATATTTGATATTTTTAAAATATACCATTTATAAGTATAAAAATATCTTTGGTGTGTTTTTTATGCCTTTGTAAAAATTTTGTGTGTAACCGATTAGAGCATCTCAGAATGTATTACCAGAGCCTTTGATGACATGGTTCTGTGAACTATAAGAACGCTTTAAAAATTAAATAAGTTCACCCTAAAAGGTGAAAGATGTTGACATTCAAATGAAATAAAGGAAACCAGCTGAATTTCGATGATCTTCAGGTGCATCCATCTAAAACACAGTTACTCTTCTTCCAAAAAGAGTAAACTGTTATATTAGATAAGTTTCCAATTGCATTTTTGTTTATATGAATTCTTGCTATATTGGTAATGGACTTATCAGTACTATACTTAGGTTGAAAGAAAACATTTAGTAAGGCTACCCTGAGAAAACAAGAATTATCCCTCTGTCACCTACCACAATGATTACAGTCAAACAAATACCTGGTTAGGAAAATGACCCAAGGCTAGGAAACTCATAATTTAATGATCATCATTCTGCAGCTGAAATATCTTGAGGCAAGCAGACTGGATTTTAGCTTGGCTATTGGTTTACTGGTTCAGGAAGCAGATCAATCTGTTATATAAAGCCCCCCCAAAATCTCTCTTCAGACTCAGGAGGGAGGAAGAAGGGAAGAAGTGGAAGATTTTCACAGTAGAGCATGGTGGCCTACCCCTCCCTCCATGCCTCTGATTGGCCGAGGGGCTGTGGAAGTCCCACTCCTCCCCAGAGATTGACACATGGCCATCTGTTAATCTCTGTGGAGAAGCAGGACTTTTGCGGCCCCTCAGCCAATCAGAGGCATGGGGGGGCCCCACCGCACACTGCTACAAAAACGGCAACTGGTACTGTGCAGGATTGCAGAATCTGGAGGCAGCTGCCATGAATTAGGTAGGTCCTTAGATACGAGTCATGAAATAGTGATATCAGATGTCACTTGGGGAGTAACCCTTCTCTCTATTTACAGTAAGGTGTTACTATTAACTTTCAGGTAATCCCACTCATCTTGTATAAGATTTTAAAGACATTGTTTTGCTTTTATTCCAGTCAGAAAACAGATACTGAAATGCTATTACATATTAAGACACAATGTGAAAGCCAAATAATGAACACATGTAAGTCATATCTTATGTGCTTCATATCAGACAGCAAGTGTGGAATTTATATGGAACTAGAAAAGGGTTCAGACCAAACACTCTCTAATTACTGGTAAGTTTATATCTAGATCTGAGCTTTACAGTTCTAGTCCAAGTCTGTGTAAAATAGGGTTAGACTGTTCAGCACTATTGTCAGTGCTACAATTCATAGCTCTAGATGCATGCTAGGCCGGATGGTGTACTAAACTAACAAAGCCTAGAAGAGCGCAAGAAACTATAATATTGCTCTGATTTATCAGTATAAATACTTCAATTTCACAGCCAACTGCAGAGCTTCTTAGGTGGATGATTAAGACTCAAACAACTATAACACAATCATAAATTATTCCGTATATTCTTACAGATAACATGCATCTTTTTTTCCAAAAACCAGCTGCTAGAATTGGGGTGGGCATTACAACTGAGGAAAGTTTTTCTACTGTTTAAAGCTTCTGCTGAGCAAAAGTGAAAGTAATTTATC